TAAACTATTCTGAAATCACATTGATTTAAATTCGATTTCAATAGGCTACAATATTTATATTAAATATCTGGGTTATATATCTTCAGTTTGAGGTTATATGTTCTGTTCTTACTATTCGTGTATTCGCAGATAGGTAAAAAAATGTTGGTCTTACAAAAAAAGTCTAGGAAGTAACATTAAGTGCAGAATCAGTGTTTGATGAACGTAGGCGCGTGTCATTACACTTCCTAATAAGATTTACATAATATCTACAGTGAAGGTCATTGTCTTCGTTTTTATCTTCCTACACAATTGTAAAATTATGTCAACCCCTATCAAGGTTATGTTTACTTCCATATTTATTCTTGGAGTTGAGACTGCTGTATGTTAGGTTACGGATACGATTATATGACTCGATCAGGAAATTGAACATCGTCAATAGTGGTGTTTCCGGCCATTATTTGTTCAACGAGGCGCTTAAAACCAGGTTCAATTTTTCCACCATGATTAGTCGCCCCTTCATTAAGCTGGTAGTCGCTATACATCGGAATGTTTCCATCATTATTTGCTTCATTGACTATTGTTGCTTTGTCTTCTACTACAACTGTATTATTTTTCAAAGTTAAATTACCTTAAAGACCGTCACAAAAACCTTAAACGTCCTAAACTCATTATGTCTTACGTGTAGAAATTCTCGTGTGTCGGTCTGTCAGTCGGTCCTTGTTATAGCATAAATTGATTATATTCATCATTACATTTCGTACGTGATAGCTAAGCATCTTACGTGACGCCATCTTGCTTTTTTCTTGCCGCCCTCCGCCACACACTGGTTTTCAAATAAAATGTTATACTTATGAAGTTTTTTTCCCTTTTTAACCATCCGTTCTGCATGGCTGGTTTTGCTTGACGCAAATTACGTTGTTTGATAGTGACGCAATTTTTCCATTGTATATTTTTAGAATTCGTTTAAAGTATAGTTTGCGGAGTAGCAAATCATTCTCTTCCACATACATCTCTGATAGCAAATGGTTCTTTAACTTACATCTAAGTACCAAAAGTCCTATTTTTGTTGGTTTTTAATTTATTTTGATTATTAGTCTATATATGTGTGCATATCCAATGAGATTTGTTAATTTGGAATTAGAAGTAATAACTTGATCAACTTGAACAACCTGAATCTAGTCAACATGTTTGAATTCAACACCTGTGCGTATCAGCAGCCTTGTTATTTGTTGTTCAATTCTCTAGATGACTACAAATGCAAATTAAGCTTTAAATTTTCTATATTTGGACACAATAAAACAAGGCGTTGAACTCATAGATAGCAATTTCGATGAAGCGGTAGCAAAGTTTTTTTGCATAATCAAGGGAATCAGTTTGTGGAACGAGGCCCATTTGCTGGAACCTCTTTCATCTTTCGAGTGTCCGCCACATATTTGTCGTTGCCATCCCAACTTTACAGTTTGCAAATTGTCAATTCACAGAAACATGGCTATATTTAGTTCAAGTTTAAACTTGTCCAACTGCATTGGCAAGTTGGTTATATAAAAGTGTAATGTGTTATAATGTTATGCCAGGATGGGTTTGTCACGAGCTCGCGAGGGTGAATGCACTGAGCAAATATGTCCGCTCCGTTAAAATAAATCTTTGTACGTTTCATTATTTTTCATCACTATATGCCCCGTTGGTTCTACGGTAATTTTAGGCTTTGTTTCATTTTTCATGCACGTGTTTTCTTTTTACTGAGACGCTACAAGAAACACTACCCTAGAAGATTTTATTATTTTTTATTCAAATGTGTGTCAAAAGTGTGCAAGATTTTAGAATAGAATTGAATACAAAACTAATGATCAATCACCTGACGTCATTGTTAATTTCTGCGACAAAACATAACGCTATTGAGTACTGACACTGTTTGAAGCGTGAAAGGAGAGTGATCGAAGTAATAATTAACGCACTAAAAGTTATCAGTGGGAACGCGGCGCCTTTATGTTCATCAAAGTTAATCCAAAGATAACGGGAGAACTTAATGAACTCTGAAGTCATTATGTATAGATGGTGAAATAGTCGTTCGTAGACTACGAAGAGAGTGTAGCCACGTGCCAATAACATACAAGGGACTCAAAAACAATTCCTTGTAATAGCAAATTATTTTGAGACTTAGAGAGTGTTATCTCAGTATTGAAACAAACGCTTATTACATTTTCGAAGGCAACCCAGCCAGCTTACAAACTATTCGTTTCAATCTCACTGTCCAGATTGGTACTCGAATTGATATTTCTGTTGACAGTATCTATATCTATGTCATCATTGGACTTGAATCGGTTCGATACAAGTTGTATCAAAGTTTCAAACAGCTACCGTTCGGAATATTGCTCGTCATTGTAAGGGAAACGGTCTTATGAAGACTTCGGCGCTTTCTGCGAACCAGTTCCCATAACCTAGATGTATTAGTACTGCAGTACCGATGTATTTCAGCTTTATTAAGTACTGGAGATACCGTTTACTTTATAGCAAGTCTATATTTACTTGAAGAAATTTTGCAATTTCAAACAATTATGAGTATTTTTATTAAGTACATATTCGATTTCTCATTAAGTATTTCGCAAGTCTTTGCAGCAATCCAGCGAAATTGACGAGCTTATAAAAAATGGTAACCACGGAATGCCACCCAATTTGATCTTTTCTCATTTATTTGGAAATGTATTTCTTCAATTACCTTAATTATCTTGACGAATGTTGAAATACCAAGTACCTTCACAATAACGTCTTGAATAATTTTCACCCGTTACGAATTTAACTAAACGTTCGATGCGTGACCAGTGCCATAAAATGAAAGGTCAATAGCATCAGCACCAGATTTACTGGAGTATGATGTTGCGAAATTAATTTGCGTATAGTACGTGTTTGAGGTTTTATTTCGATTATTAGAAACTAGTCTTTAATAGTTGTGGTGTAAGTATTATTATTGTTTGACTGCTATTTTTTGGTTCTTACTTACTTTAAGTTTGATTTGGAATTAAAACCTATCTTAAATATATGCATAGTACTGTTGTAAAGTGTTGTACTACTTGTAGAGACTTGATTAGTTCTGCAATTCACCAATCAGTGTCGTGATTGGTCATGTTGTCTTGAGGCTTCATAAAATTAGTTCCACAAAAATGTTCTTAATTATTTCTGACTGTGATACGATGTGGGGATGTAATGCATGTAAATTGTATGTTTAATGACAGCATCGTCTGTTTTAAGAACTGTTAAAAGGCTGTGTTTGAATTAGTTCGGATAAGATATTGTTAAACATTATAATATTCCTGTTACACAAGGTACAGAAATGAAATCCTAAAAAGGTTTTACTTAACCCTTGATTGAAAGCTGGCATTATGATCTGCTGAAGATTACCTACTCACGGAGTCAATTTTGAATCCGAGTTCAAAAGTCAACAACGTGCTTCAAAACAGTTTGTCGCTTCAAGATAGTCCTACGAACGTATTTTTTATTTTCTATAGCAATACAAATAATGTGCATTCACCACACAAAGCCAGCCAGACGGGCCTCTCGTTAGCAACGGCTCGTAAAATGGAACGTACCGCAACTGCTCTTAGATACGCCAATAGAAGTGAACATTGCGGTGTTAAAGAGATTCTGTTTGTTGGTTTTTGAGAGTACGTCTTCAGAAATGCCGTATGGATTTTGAATAAGTGCAGTAAAGCAAAATCTTGTCGTTCCGCGTTTTGGTGATTCGTTTATCTATATATGTAACTGAGTGGTGATTTATTTCATCAACAAGTCAGCTAGAGTTATTATTTCTACCAGTATTGAATTACTTTACAGATTTCAATATTTTTCCTTTTAGCAGACTTTTTTAAAATAATTTATTGAAAACTCAAAGTTAATTATAAAAAGTGACTGTTACGGTAAACGTCTCCCTAACTGGTGCACTGAGGGTAAAAAATTCAGTTACACGGGCAGGATATGACGTGGAAATTGCTCGGAACCGTGTCAGTGAGGTCGTTTCGCCCGTGTTGCATGCATTGATTGTGTTACATGTGCACCGTGAAATTGTCGCGAGGTCGCTGGGGTCGACGACCCGTTGAACTTTTGATTTTTATAAAATTTTTGAGTATAAGTTTAAATTTTTTGTGTGATTTTTTGAGCATTAAGTTATTTAAGATGGGGAAGTATAGAAATAATACGATGTGATGAGGTTGAATAGCACGCAAAAAACAATGGAAAATATTAAGAGTAGGTTAGACAGGAAGGAAAGTAGGTACAACAGTGAACATTTTTGAAAGAATTTTGTAAATTAAATTAAAGTTTACGTGACCATATAAATGTACACTTTTTGCATAATATTTATTAAAACAATATTTTAGTGACACAATGTTGGTAAGCGTTTATATCACATTAACAATTTTATCTGTAATTTCATTTTTTGATAAAGTAAAAGCGATAACGATTTTACGATATTACTTTGATATGAATAAGTTCACCATGATTTTGGGCCTTTTCAAAGAGATCACTTGAATTTGGTGTCATAATTTTTGTTTGTACATTGACAGATGATCTCTGATTTAAGTTATTCTCTTGTCGAAACTATCCCCGTTATTAGAGTGTGTCGGTCTTGTCACTGATCACAGTTCGCTACATAGGAATGTAATGCGACCTTCTTCTTCTCAATTCTTAGAAATTTTAGGGCATATTGTTTGTAACATCTACGTCAGGTAGTTTAAGTATTCCGTATTAATTTATTTATACATAATTAAACGTAGACGTTCGATTCAGTTTTGGTTGAAGTCTAAGATTTTTTTAGTATTTTCTATTTCTTGCCCTTATGCTTTTAAACAACAGGGTCGTCTTTTCTCCTTCTTTCCTTAAGAAGCATTCGTTTCGTTGTATTAAGACTTTTTGTACCATAATGTCCTTTCTTCAATTAGGGATTTTTTTGTGTATATTTTGGAATTGTCTTAAATTGTGTATTTGTATAATTATGTTAAAAGAAATGTATTATTTCATTGTTACAGATGACAGTAGCAGAGAGGAGGTTACTTCAGAGCAACAGGTATGATTATGTGTTTTTTATACTTTTTAATTGCAACCTTTATGGTCTGTTCTCATAGTTCTCTGTAGCTGACTGTTTGTGTTAGGTGATACATGTGAAAAAGAGAATTCTCATTAGTGTTACATTTAAATTAAATTTCATACCGGTTATATGTTCGAAAGAACTTTTTGTCATATTACATAAATTAATTTTCGATTTCTACCAAGTTATAGATTTTGATAAAAAGTCAATACTTATAGTAATTTTATAAATCTTGATCAATCCAAAGGTTTTTATTACGTTATTTTTCGACAGTAAATAAAAAAAAAACCGAATCCCAAAATATTTTCCATATCTAAAACCCCAACTGGCAATACACTTGTAGGTAACTGTACTTGCTTACCATCAGGTGTGCCTGTTGTTCGATTGTTGCCTGAGATAGCTCTACGGTCGGCGTGTTACCCTTGTTCACCGGGGCTACGGTGGCTTAAGATCATCGCACGGCGCCCAAGTAGTCTCGCTATACTACAGATTAATAAATGAATTAAGTGTGGGAGAGCCATGCAGAACAAATGGGTCGGCTCCACCGGAGTGATACCACCGCCTCACAGAAAACCGGCGTGAAACAACCACCGCGTTGTGTTTCGCCGTGTGAGTGATGTTACCGGAGGCCCAAACCTTCCCCTCCCCCAATCCCTCCTCAATCCCTAAATCTCCAAATCCCTAAAAGTTCGGCAAGGTTGTGGGTGTCCATGGGCGGCGCTGATTGCTTAGTACCAGGTATCCGTCTATCCGTCTGCTCGTTTGCCGACCTATTACATAAGAAATGACTTTAAAAAGAACAAATATTGTCTTGGGTGTACACATGGCGATCTAATTAATGGAGTGTTCATTACAATTAGATTAGATAACGCTAACTTTAATTTACAACCGACCCGTTAATCTCTAACCCAATTCCTACACTATCACTTGATATCAAAACACAACAGATTTTAATAATACATGTATAAGTTCTGTGAAATTCAGAAGCGACCGGGGAAAGGAAAAAGTGGACTGGAATAACGTTGGTGGTAAATCGATAGTTCTTCAAAATTGTTATTTATTTATTTATTTAAGTAGTGCTCGAGCGTGACAGATGTGTTGTACTCCATATAGATAGATCTCTATAAATAAAAGGATGTAATCCGGCAATTAGCATGATAGCATAGATTTATATTAACCGGTTGATGGGGAAACGGAGCCCCTTCAAAATCTTATCACAGTTCTAAGCCACGATGAAATCGGCAGATTTTTTAAATGCTCTTTTATAGCATAAGGTCAACTGTATATATACCCTTAATCTGATTAAACTTACCTATATTTTTTTTAAATTTAGATTATTCTATTGTTTTTTTTAAAAACGTTGACTTACACTAGTATTTTCTTCTGTGTCGTGGGTGTGTTTACAAGCATACAAATTCACATACACAATCTACCCAGACTCGAAATAACTAATCACACGGTGCTGTACCGTGCGGGAATCGCCACGCGACACGTTTAATGAATTGTTTAATGTCGCACGCAACAAATATTATTAGTAATCATTCATATCATTATGTTATCAAATTAATAATGTTATGTTATTCCCCTGCGCATACGCAAAGGTGTGTAACACATGCGATTTTTTCATAATTTTAAAGTAAAAGGAAATTACGCGCCTCAGAATTGTTATTATCAGCATTTTTCATTTCATCATCGCAGGAGAATGAACAGGGTAGTTTTAGTCAATAAGACTCTGACGATACCATTTGATGGAGAAGTCATTTCATGCTTTTGCCTTCGTTAGAAAAAACATTATATAACATGTAAATAATTTTCAAATAATTATAATGTGCCAATTCAAGATTGGCACATTATAATTATTTGAAAATTATTTTTTTTATTATTTAAATTATTTTTTATTAATAAGTATAACTTAAAATAAATAAATAGTCTAAATACGTTTCTAAAAATTTGATAATATAGGTGAACCTCCAAATCACTAATATCAGATGTCATGTCGCAATAATGTATGTTTCATAACAATTTCTGCATACAATGACTCAAAGGATATAGGTTAGTTACGCGCTTGTTTAAAACACGATATTATGTTCAAAAATCTTGTGTTTACTCATTGGAACAAAAGTTTATCTTAAATATTCTTTTAATCTTATGCAACATCTCTTTTACGCCATTTAGGTACTCTTAGATTATACTATTATGGAAATCAGAATAGTGTAGGATTTTATGAATAGGAATATCTTAGCAGTTGCGGAGATTCGGAAATTAGGACTAGACTTTCGTATAAGGGTAGTTTTCTACGCTTCTTAATGAATAATAGTCGTCTTAGACTCTTGAGTAGTATGTCCCACGTTCCCCCTAATAATTTATATTTCAAACTAATTCACAATAAATACACTTTAAATCGATTTAACAGCACCCATACCGCTCGCTGTCCTGCATCCTTCATTGATCCTCCATCAGGTAGAGACCACCTTGTATCAACACCGTGTACCCCACACGATGTTGCCCTAGTAGCCCATTTATAAACTTGTCCGAACAGCGATAACCCTGCATTGTGTTCCGATGTATTGATTTGAGATTATCTAGGTGTATCCAGATCATTCGAGAGTATCAGTACGCATGAATCTTGCATAATATTGGTCCTAACTCACTTGGTCCTTATCTTAATCTACCTGGTCCTAAGTTCCGAAATCGTAGTTATGCTTTTCAAATGTTGTTTTAAGATACTTAATAACGGAAGTAAATAACTATAATTTGCCAAAATAAATCTGAAATATATGTGGTTGTTTTTTTAGACTTTTTGTATTTTAATGTTTATTACGTAGGTAAGAATAACTAGGGAAATGAATAATGCATTGAGTGCTCCTTTTTCCGGTAATTAATCCTGTTATTAATGTCAGTAGCTTTAATGCAAAATTTCAACTCGACATCATATCATAAAATACTTTACGACTGCACGGTTGCCGCGGTGGCTGGGCAACTGGCTGCTATGCAACGTGTCGCTGGTTCGATTCCCGCACGGAACAACACTTTGTGTAATCCACAAATTGTTGTTTCGGGTCTGGGTGTGTTGTGTGTGTGAATTTGTATGTTTGTAAACGAACCCACGACACAGGAGAAAATCGTAGTGTGAAGCCACGTTTATTTAAAAAAAAAAATATCATAAAATACTTTTGAACTGATCCTATTTGCTTCTGTAATAAAATGAAATTAAAAACTTATAACATTGTTGAATAAAATTAACACTTTATGTTTTGTTCTTAATTGAAACGTTACCACGTTACACAAGGACGCGTGCCGTACAGTTTACACGTAATTGTAATGCGTGCGCGCAACGCTGAACGTTATGAATGAAATCGTTCCACGTTTGAATTACTCAAACTTTATGTATGGCGTACAGTTCCGAATTTATTTTAAACAATTTACATATTTATTTCTGGCCTCTTAATTTCTACGCTAGTTTAATTGTAACTGTTTTTGATTTTAAGATTTTTTATTAAAATATAGTAATTAGGTAGGTACATACACACATGTGTTACTGAGAGATACTTGTATTTACTTGCCGTTATAGTCTAAAGAACAATAAACTTTTGCGGTTAACTTACCGATTTGTTAAAATAACATATTATGAGATCAGAAAATTTGCGTTCGACCACAGAGTAGTATAATTTAATGGAAAATCACATACACTTACGTGCAGACCTAGAGCACCAAACTAACAGTACCCGTCTCTCATGCATAAAGCAGTTGCGCTAACAAGTTGCAGGACAGGTGCTGAAGCACGTTGCACTGTGCCGCCATCTGTTGGCAGCGCCGGACATCAATCAACATGATCGATGCACAGAAACTAGGCCTGAGAAACTCCCCTACTCCGGTATATGAAATGTTTATTTCGATACTAACCTTTATGGGTGGGTTCGGCCACTTTTTCTGGTCTTTGGTACGAGGATACATTATGTATGAGACCAGTTATCCCGTACATTATTACTCCCGCATATGGGTCGGATAGTTCGTTCATTATGTAGGTTTATTGGTGGATATAGTGGTGGTATACACGATGCTATCTAGTTTCTGCACAGCAATATGACGAACAAAGCCTTTTTGCTAAATTGAACATATTATTTTAGCATCTTTTAAAAATTCTTCCAAACCGTTTTGTGCTTTCATAGTTTTGTTAGTAATGTCGTAAAGCTAAGCAGCAGCTATATGTAATAGCTGCTGCTTAGCTTATTGTGGATCGGGTTCAGAAGTACGAAGAGTTACAAAACAACCTTAAATAAGTTCCATAACATCAGGTACAACATTTGTTACGTTTGCAATTCAGAAGTAAATACTTCAAAGAGGAGAATTGAATTTCACGTCGGTTTATATAACACTATTCAATCGCAACCAGTTCTCAAGGATACTAGCGATCTGGGTTCAATCACTTCGCTCGCGGTGAATGAAACACAATCCGACTGAAAATGGTAGTGCAACTCTTTGCTACAAAAATAAGACACTTAGGGTAACATTTTAAATTTGTAAGGTTATACAGGAACCGCGGTGCAACCGGGACTAGTGCTGCCCAACTGCTTTTTGCGATAAGAATCGATACCATCGAAAGTGATTCGATCGTCGTTATCGATCTTAAGGCGGTAATCGCGCGCTGTCGAACGCTTGTGGGAAAATGATCGAGTAATATTTAATTAATTTGTAGAGAATTATAGCTTCAAATGAACATATAATGATGATGATTATTTCTAAAAGAAGAATAACATTCAAAAATAGTTGCGAAAAGCAACATGTCGAAAATTCGTATAAAATGAATCTTCCAGGGAATCATAGCATTTACTGTGGAAGGTGGCAATTTCCATCTCATAAATCTTCTTATATTAACGATGTCCAACTTCCATCACCGTACCAACCTAAACTATTCATCACTGCTTCTACGACTTCAGTGTTTCCGCAAATTATATTAATGAATACATTTTCCCTGCTTA